GATGTCTGATCCTGCAGGAGTATCTCTTTTAGGGTTACATTCTTGACAGCCCGGTCCACCTTCCTTGTTTTGGTTCCAGAATTGTGTTTCAGTACACTCTATAGGCTGGGATAGAGTGATAGACACTAACAAAAGTAAGAATTCAAACATTGTATTTAATTGTTCCAGTTTGAAAAAAACTTGAAAAAATCGAAAAGAAAAACATTTAATTAAATTGTTGAATTAAAAATAATACGGGTTTTTGGTCACATAAAAGAGGACTTTTTCGATACTTCTTTATTCACACTAAATTAAAAAGAATGGAAAATCGACAAAATAAAACATTGTAAAATGCCCGATTTTTTAAACGAATTCGATGTAATATTAGATAGTTCACTTTTATGAGTTTAAAATAGTAATAGCTGTTTATAGTAGTTTTTTAATAAACTTTTGTTATGATTTTTCCGTTATTTTTTCGAGACTTTATTAATAAAAGATTATTAAATTAAATAATTGGTTAAGAGTTCAATTCAGTAAAAATTAACATTCGATTGTTATATATTTAGTTTATTTATAGTTATAGTATATTAAATTAAATTTTGTTGAATCAGAAAAAATTGATATTGAATATTTATATTATAAATATTATTTCATGTGAATGTATATTTCCAAAATAATAATATTATAATAAATTTAATCTTACAGAAGGTAAAAAAAATGTATTTTCAAATTAAAACTAATTAACAATAGTTTTTTTTTATTTTTTGAGCTCACAAAAGTTTAAATTGTTTTTGTGTGAACAAAAAGTAACTTTTATAGATAGATAAACTATTTGAAATATTAGAATTTTGATTAATAAAAAAAATAAAATAACTAAAAATGAATAAACTATATTTATATTATAATATAATATAATATAATTATATATTGTAGTTTATTTTTTTCACCTAAGAGTCATTTCTGACAAAAATTGTAAAAAAGATAAATTGGTTTAAAATTTTAATAACCAAATAAACTTAGAACATTACATACTTCACATAACCACCTCACACCATTTCTAAATGTGAGATGGTTATAAGTTTATAAATTTATTTTATTAATAAACTGTTAACTATTTATTTTGTTTTAAAATTAAAAAAACAGAAACTACTTTGAATCAAAGAAAAATAAAATTTTTAATAATTGTTTTCTTTTCCTCGAAATAGCCGAAAAGTATTTTTTGAATGTTATTAATTTGTTTATAACGTCCGATATAATATCTATTTAGATTTTATTAATAAAAATTGTATAATTAAAAATTATTAATTTTTTATACTATTAGTAAAATGTTATAATTTTATATTTTTATTTTTAAAAATGAAAACAAAGAACTAAGAAACTTTAATTGACTTCAAAAGTTGACAAAAAATAACTTCAATAACAAAAAAATGATATTTTGTTGAAAATAACAATTACTTTTGACTTTTCAAAATTAATTTGAGTTACAATTTGACACATTTTTTGTGTGATTATTTGGTTTTAATTTTTGATAATTAACATAAAAATGGTGTTTTGTTTCTTTATTAAACTTTATTTATTGTATTTTTGATTAATTATATATAATAATACATTTTTCGAATAAAAGAAGATAATAATCCAACTCTATGTTTTATATATATATTTGTTGTTATTTAAATTGATTAAACTTCGCATTAAACACGTATTGATAAATAAGTATTAAATGTGAGGTCATAATAGGAAACTACTCCGAAATTACAAGAGAATGTGAAATCACTTCAAGAAAACAAAGTTTTAAAAGAAAAACTATTATCTTTTAATCTTAATTGGAATGGTTGAAATTCTTTTGTTTTTAATGTGTGTAATGATGTGTGTCGCCGATAGAGCAACCAAACAAATATACCATAATTCACACCAAAAATCTGGCAACAAAATTTTAAAGACCATCAAAACAGTCAATAATTCAACTTTAAATGATCCAACGTGTGGAGGTATTCCGGATTGCGCAACCTGTAAATGGGTTGGATCTGAAATTAGTTGTACTTCTTGTTATGAAAGTTACTATTTAGACAATAACTCTTGTAAAAGATGTACACCTTTTTGTAAAAAATGTGAATCTGAAATTGGATGTTCTGTTTGTGACGATGGTTATTACATAAAGGGAACAAGTTGCGAATTTTGTGGGTATGGATGTTTAGTTGGGATGTGTGATCAAACAAAAGGTGTTCTCAATG